TTCAGAAGACTGTGTGTCACCATTTCAGCCACGACCCACAGTCAGGCTACCTTCCTTTATAATCAGCTTGGCCTGTAGGGGGCGACTCACACAGAGAGAAATTAATACTTACATCACTAATTCAACATTCTAGCTGAGGCTCCTACAGCTGTGTTCATGAGTGAGTCTATGAGAGAATCAGAGCTGTTTATTGGTTTATTAGTGTTGATGAGGCTGTACTGTTTATCTAGTGATGGTGTTTATCCTGATTGTGTCTGTGTGTGGAGTCTGAGTGCTGACTGTGATCAGTGTGTGTTCATGTCTGATCATTCTGTCCTGTTTCCTTTTTTTACAGCATCAGAACAAACACCTGACCTGGTCTGAGTCTCACACACACTGGGGTTATGAAGAGAGGATGAAGTCTTATAGAACACACACACACACACACACACACACACACACACACACACACACACACAGTGTGTGGTTCTACACGGTAATGTGTGTGTTTTCGGCTCTTTATTGGTCAAATATGTGAACACAGCTGCAGCACAGAGCTGTGTGCTCTCCCCTTGACATCACTTCCTGTTTACCAGTGACTGCACCTCCAGCGTCCTGTCCATCAAACTCCTCCCGTTTGAGGATGAGCCCACATTGGTGATGAGAGCGTGTACAGGAGGAGGAGAAGAGCCTGGTGTTCTGATAACAACATGAGGTCGACACTCAAACCAGTGGAAATGTTGATAGACTTTAATAAACTCCCTCTAGAAATCAATACTGGAGTCACGAGAGTGGAGGAGATCTTCAAGATCATGAAGACACCATCTCACACACACACACACAGATATGAGAGCACAGAGAGGCTCCTGAAGAGCAGCTGAATGAGCTGAAACTCTGCTGTCCTGGTCTCTAATAGTGTAAAGTCTCTTTGGTGTGTATGAGATTATGAGATTATGAGATGCTTTTATTCTGTTTTTATTATAGCTCAACAGTCAGAAATGACCGTTGCAGGACTCCATGGTCAGTTACTCCATCACTCCTGCTCATTAACATATATGTAGTGTATAAATATTGAATGTAGTTTCTAATAAAGTAATAAAATCTAGTAATGTAGTCTTAATCAATAACATAATAAAATTTTACTGATGCTGTAATATGTCGTTACATTATTGGGAATTTATCACATTTTCATATTTAACAGCTTGTTACATTATTGTAAATGTGTCATATTTACAAGATGATCATTTTTCTCCATATTACTGTAATAATGATGTCTGATAAAATGACATTATGTTCATTTTCAGTCCGTACAGTGTTCTGTATCATTCCCAGCACCAACAATCACCACATCTCCACTGCTCTGGTGCCACAGTATGGCAAATACTGTATTTTATATTTATATAAAAAAAGAATCTGAGGTGTTCTGTATCACGGTGGCGCAGTGGGTAGCGCTGTCGCCTCACAACAAGAATGGCCTGGGTTCGATTCCCGGCCGGGCGACCAGGGTCATTTCTGTGTGCCTGTTCTCCCCGTGTCTGCGTGGGTTTCCTCCGGGTACTCCGGTTTCCTCCCACAGTCCAAAAACATGCAGTCAGGCTGATTGGACACGCTAAATTGCCCCTAGGTGTGAGTGAGTGTGTGACTGTGTATGTCTGTCTGTCTGCCCTGCGATGGACTGGCGACCTGTCCAGGGTGTATCCTGCCTTCCGCCCAATGACAGCTGGGATAGGCTCCAGCACCCCACCGCGACCCAGAAGGATAAGCGGTTTAGATGATGTATGTATGTATGTATGTATGTATTACAGAATCTGATCTCCAGTTACTCAGTTGAGGTAGATAATCGATTGTTATGAATGTTACCTAGCAACCAACAATACATACACAGCTGAAATATAAACACACAAGTGGTGTTTATTTAGGCAGCTTCCAATATAAAAAATGTAAACTAAAGTGTGATGAACTAGAAGTCTGAAAAATGTTAATAATAATATTGTTTCAAATGTAATAACAGGAATTAAATTGAGAAACAAATGAAATTAGAGAAAGAATTAAATGAGACAAAGATAAAAAAAAGGAATGACAGAATTAAAAGAGCAAAATTGAAAAAAGAAAAAGAAAGGAAGAAACACACACCTGTTTTCTAAGCTGCTTATCCTTCTGGGTCACGGGGGGAGCTGGAGTCTATCCAGCCAGTCCATCACAGGGCAGATAGACAGACATACACATTATTAAGGAAGAAACAGAAACAAATAAATGAATTAATGAATTAATGAAGAAAGGAAAAAGCAAAAGAAACTAAGCAAGTGTAGAAGAGAAAAGCGTAAGGAAGAAAATAAGAAAAAAAGAAAAACAAATGGACAGAAGGAAGGAAGAAAAGAAGGACAGAAGTAAAGAAATAATTGAAGGAAGAACAGAAGAAAGACAAAAAGAAAATTAACAGAAAAAAGTAAAGGAACTGAAAGAACAAAGAAACAGAAATAAAGAAAAAAATGACAGAATAGAGATGAAGGAAGAAAAGGAGTTTTAAAAGAAAAAGAACAGAAGCATATAAGGAAAGTAAAGAGAGAAAGGAAGGAAAGGAAAAACAGAAAAGGAAGAAAAAAAGTAACAGAAAAGTGAAAAGAACAGAAAGAAGGAAAAAAGGTAAAAAGATAAATGGATAAAAAGCAATAAAGACAAAAAGGAAGGAAAGAGGAAAAGTAAGGAAAAACAGTGAAGCTGCAGGTTCTTTTCCTCCGTATGACAGTTTGTTCCTTTATTAACTGCACAAACCCATTTTTCCTTCTGCTCATCATCAGCTGAGAAACCACTGAAACTGAGATGAGGTTGTTTCTCTTCGAGCTCCAACACTTGAGTGAGCTGTAGACGCTCTGCTCATCATCACTGTTACTGTTGCTGCTTTAGCTGAAGCAGCGTCACCTGCAACGAGAACTTCCAGCAGAAACATGTGGAGATATGAAAAGAAACGATTAATGAAGACCTTCAGGATCATCTGAATATTAGAGTCAGGAGTGTTTCTAATTAAAGCTTACAGGACGGTAGATCACCAGGACCAGGGGTGTCCACCCCTGAATAGACATCACCACAAAGCAGCTTTACACACACAACACCCCATGTAGACAGAGAGGATAGAGGGGCATCATAGACTTCACTGTGGGACCTCCAAGACATTTAGACCTGTGACTCCACACACCACACACCCCATAATCTGACTGTGTTCTGATTTAATACACTCCTGGTTCTATTCAGTGTCCTATAGTTATATTCCAGAGCTGAAAAGATCAGTGAGTGGATTCTGTAAAGTCTGGAAACGACACAGCAGCACTAATTCATTCTATCACTGGAGAACATTCACTAGTCACTGTTTCCACAGTGAAACACAGTGAAGCTGTTTTATCCTTTATCCCATCTGAAGGTAATTCAGTGTGAATGCAGTGATCGTCTGATTAGATGTGTGGTTTGTATCATCCCTGATGTTTTACATCGTGTGTGATAATCAGAGAGTTTCTGTCTTCATCAGATCTGCATGGTCAGTGTGGCCTCCACACACCCAGAATAGATCAGCTCTGTGTCCAGATGTTCACTGTCTCCAGGGGTCAGAGTGAGTTCAGAGCAACATCACTTTAGTTTCATCACCAGCATGAAGAACCAACCTCATTAACTGACCACAGATACAGAGGAGACCACAGCTGCACTACTGTCCTTATATAACTGAGCTTTTACAGCCATATAAAAGCAGAAAAATCATAATTCTAGAAGAAATTAAAAGATGTGGTTGAGTGTGATGAGGTTAAATAAGGTTATAGAGTTTGTGTTGAATTGTTTGCTGGTAGATTTGGATCTGAATCAAGAACATCACATTCATAGAGAACTGAATGATGCTTTAAGGGAAGGTGAGCAAATCACATGGATTTTACAGCCCAACTCAACATGAAATCAGACCAAAGTGATTCTCTTTTCTTTGTGTTTCTTTCTCATTCTCTGTTTTATTCTCTCCACATTTATCCTCTTTTAAACTGGCAGATGAAATGAAGCCTTTCTAGGTGTGACAGTGTATTTATGGGCGGAGCAGAATGACCCACAAATAAATCAGTGATTTTCCAGAAACTGATTTCTTCCTCTTATTACTGTCCTCCTGATGGTGTAAAGATGACGTGGGGGTGGTGAATGTAAAACAGTGCTCTAGTATTTCTGTGTTTGTTGTCTTGAATCAAATTAGATTTCATTTCTTCAGATCTACAGAAAACTTACTTTTGAAATAAAACTCTGTTCTGGTGTAAAACTGAACATTCATTCTGTGGTGGTCTCACCAAGACTCGGGGCTGTAGTCAGTTCAGTTGGCGAAAGGTCGAGGGAAGAAAGAAGCAGAGAGGACTCGGCGTTGGAGTTCAGTGGAACCACTTTTTAATGTAGAGAACACAACTGCTTTGGCTACGTGATCCTGCAGGCTAGACAGAACCAGAACACACTGCTGCGTCTCTCTCTCTCTCTCTCTCTCTCTCTCTCTCTCTCTCTCACCCTCGCTTGCTCAGTCACTCCATCCCCTTCACAGCACTGACCATTAAACAGAGTAAAAGAACAGACGATGTTCTAGATTCAGCTTTATTTCAGCTCAGCAGAACCACAGGAACAGCAACAGGACAGAGAACAGAGTAAAGACAGGAACATCAGCACTGTGTAGAGTTTAAACTCTACTGTAGATGATGTGGAAGCAGCTCTATGTTCAGGTCTATCTTGGAGCTGCTGGTCTTCACAGCGGCTCTTTCAGAACGTGATTGGCTGATTGACGTTCTCATGGGAGACCATACAGCCAAACTCCTCCCCCACATCCTGGCTGGAGTTCTTAATCTGACCATGTGTAGTAATCAGTGCAGCTCTCCATACTGTTCTCAATCTGATCAGATTCATCAGACATCTGCCATCAGGAACACCAGCACGTCCTCCTGCGGTAACAAAAAAATCCAGTCCAAACCGATTAAAGTGAAAGTGAATCTTAAGCAGCTGTCAATTCTGTGAAGAGAAGATCAGAAACAGCATTTGGAGAGAAGAACAGAGGTAAAGTTTAACAGCCTTTACCAGTTTAATTTATTACTGTATGAAGGTGTTTCAGACAGTGAGAGCAAAAAAAAAAAACTTTGTACTCAGAAATATATTTCAGAGATCAACTTTTTAGGTGAAGTAATTAAGGAGAAGTGACTGCTTCTGTGTGTTTGTGTGTGTGTTGGGGGGGGTATTTTTTTATATCTGAACAGTGCGTGTAAAACGGTTAATCCTCACAAATGATCATTGTTCTCATCCAAGACCAGCAGCTGCAACTTGGTGTAGGTGTGAAATGTATCACTGTGACTTCTGAAAACTGTGGTACTTGATTTCTACAGGCTGCTGCGCCTCAGTGAGAGTTCAGGGACCATCAGCAGATCACAGAAGACCAGCAGTCAGAGGGTTTAGAAAAGACTATAATTATAATTATTGCTTTGTTCACACAAATAAACTATTTATACTGAAAAGCTCTCCAATTTATGACTTGTAATCACAAAATTTCTGGACTCGCTTGACTGAATTAGTTCCTCCATGTTGTAAACAAAAAGAGGTAACACTTTACATTAAGGGTCGCTAATCAATCATTAAATATATAATAATCAACTATTAGTTTCCCATTATTTAGTTATTAGTTAACTCTTCATTAAGCATTAGCTATTACTTAGTAATTGATTAAGCACTTATCAATTAGTAATTAAGTACACTGTTAGTTCATACGTTTGTCATTAGTTTGTGGCTTACTTACTCATTATCTGTGTGCTAATTGCTGCTTATTATATTGTTAATTAACTAATAAGTATTTTTCTTCATATAAAGAAGTAACGTGATAACTTACTAGCACCTATGTGTTAATCCTGCTAATTATCTGTTAATTAACTTTCCATCACCTCCATATATTCAGTTGCTTCACTTTTCTCACATTGGTTCATTAAAGATGCTTATGGTCACATCTGACCGTAGGATGAGTGCACACACGTTCAGTGATGGTTTTGTTATTCATCACGCTGATCTTGGCATATCTGTACAAACTAACTCATATCTGGTAGGGGTGCATGTAAATTTGGGCATAAATGCTGGATATGTGGCTAATTAACTAAAACTATTATCAACATAATCTGTAATTGCAAAAATAAAAACAACAATAGAAAATTTCAATAATACTAATTTGTGTGCATGACAGTCCAGTACAAAAGTGGATGTACTTACTTTACATGCACATTGATATAAACAAGTGCAGCAACTATTTCATGTTCCATTTAAAGACACATTACACTGTGCTTTTGTTTCATACTACTGACTCACAAACACAGCTTCGGTCATACACTGCAATAATACAGCGTTTATTTTAGGGAATTAACTACACTAAACAATCACTCTACTATGTTAACAACACTGAGTATTTTGTTTTATTTCACATTTTATTTTTTCCAGTTGTTTTCATTTTAATACTAGTAAGTTTGGTCAGCAGCGGAGGAGTGCACTCACTGCTGGACATCAAACTCCACCCACGAGCACGGCCATTAGCTTTCATGCGAAACGCTGCTGTTTTATTGGCTGGCTACTGAAACATCTGCATGAATTAGGGTGTGTTTCATGTAAATGATATGTAAATTAGGTGCTGGTAGGTTGGTTTCATGCACTGAAGCTGATTTATCATTTATGCTCAAATCTCCACTTGTTTCCACATCATACAAAATTGTTATGAATCAGACGCAGAGCAGTTCAGACTTTATAAAAGGCAAAAAAACGTGTTCTTTTTAATGTAACTTTGATGATTAATGGCCCTTTTCACAAGATTCGTGATTACTTCCGGTTTAAGCATTAGCAGGGTAAAACTCACTTCCTGCAGAAGCGATGTCAGAATGTTTAGTAGTGAACTGTAACGCTCAAACTCTGAGCTACAACAGCTGTATTTTAGTTTTCCTGCATGGTTGTGACAGTGAGAGTAAGAAGTGGACGGAAGCTCTGATTGAACTGTAAACAAAGCTAAAATGCTGTATGGGTGTTTTTACTGCAGTTCTGCTGCAGCTGCTTCACATCAGGCCGTCTCTGTGTTTTTGTACAACACGCCAGCGATTTCGGTAATCTTCTGTTTTCAAAAGAAAGAAGAGCTTTTATATGTGGCATGAATGTTATAGACTCTGTTTATATTAAGCTAGCTATACTGGCTAGAAGCTACCGCTAACCAAACTAGTCCGGCTAACATGAAGCAGCTTTTTCAGATGTTTTTTTCAGCTAGGAGTCGCATTTTTGACTGAGCAGTGAAAGCTGGATGTTTTCTGAAGTGCTGCTTCAAAAATTGCCATGAAACTATAAGAATAATGCTGTTTGGCAGATCGCTAACATAGCTAGCGTTAGAGCTAACTTAGCTTTAAAGTCTGCTGCTCATGTGAAGCTGGTGCTCAAACTGCTACTGGCAGGCTAGCTAATTAGCAACTGTAGCCTGCTAGCCTGCCGTAAGATAATACAGTTTAAACGAAGGCTGTAAAACAGACTTTACATGTAAAAGTTTTTGTTTGTGTTTATGTCAGAAGTCACTGCCATCCTGTAGCTAAATGTGCCACAGAACCTGCTCTGCGTTAGCCGGCTGGTGGTAGCAGCTACTGAACGCTAACTAGCTTCCTTATTTTGGGAACACAGCTACAGTTAGAAATGGCTTCTAGTGTTGCTAGCTAACCTAGCTGCAGCTAAACAACGTCTACCAAATTCATACTACACAGAAGAACTTTAATTTCTTTTGAAAACAGAAATATTACAGAAATTGCTGGCATGTTGTACAGCTACAGAGACACTGCTTGATGTGAGCAGATGCAGCAGCAGTAAGCAGGGCTCCACCACACACAGCATTTTAGCTGTGTTTACAGTTAAATCAGTGCTTCCATTTACTTCCTTTTGTCACTGAAAGCTAACATATGTCTGTTGTAGCTGAGTATTTGAGCATTATAGTTCACTGCTAATGCTTAATCTGGATGTAATCGCTACTGATTTTGTGTTGTCACTTTACTTGACAACACAAAATCAGTAATTCGTAATTAGTAATCAGTAATTTTCGTGCACTATCATGACAAAATGGCCATTAGATCTTTACATTTTGACCATTAATTACTCCTTAAATTCCTCTTACTTAACCATTAATTACTGATTTTGTGTTGTCACTTGCTAGTAAGTTATCATGTTACTTCTTTATATGAATAAAAATGCTTATTAGTTAATTAACAATGTAATAAGCAGCAATTAGCACACAGATAATGAGTAAGACATAAACTAACAACAAACTAACTTATCAACTAACAGTGTACTTAATTACTAATTGATAAGTGCTTAATCAATTACTAAGTAATAGCTAATGCTTAATGAAGAGTTAACTAATAACTAAATAATGGGAAACTAATAGTTGATTATTATATATTGATTAGTGACCCTTAATGTAAAGTGTTACCCAAAAAGAGTTCTGACTTATTTCTATACGGTTAATGAATTGCAAGTCCTGCTGAGTGAAAATCAGGGTCAAATCTGAAAGACTCGTCTCTCTACATCACATACAGTCATGAGAAAATGTTTGAGTGTCCCTGATTGTATCAGCTTTTAAAAAATATCAGATGCACCAAAACACGTAATAATACATTTTGAAAACGGGATTTATGATCTAATTTTGAGAACGTCTGAATGTTTAATTGGAATTCTCCAAAAACAACTGTAGATGCAGCTCACATGATGTACTACAACTCTTATATTTGCAAATGTAACTGCTGCAAAACTCCAGTGACCAGTTTCGAGTGAATTAATTTCAGCAGCAGACAAGCTGCTGGTTGTCCGAGTGGTGCTCAGAAAACAATGTGGGCTTTGTAGATAACTAGTGTGCTTTTGAGGGCAAGCCTGGTCTTTTGAGTCGGAAAGGGTGGGGGCTGCTTTCATTTCCTGCAGCATAGCTCATAATCTCTCAGATAGCCATCAGTGTAGGACAGGCAGTCACTGACAAACCAGGGCCAATGCCAGCAGACAAACAGGCTAAACCGACCGTCTGCTAGCTGCTTTGAAACGCCACATAGATCCCACCCAATTGAGACTGTTCACCTGAATAAAATAAAACATCAAAAAAATCAGAAAAGTTTGTTCTACTAATTTAATCAATATCAGACTAGTTAAACAAAATTGCAATGACAGCACCTTTGGTCTAAAACTAGGGTGCTTTAACATAAAATCTCTTACATCTAAGGCCGTCGTTGTAAGAGTTATTACTGATCACGATTTTGATGCTCTGGGTCTTACAGAAATGTGGATTAACCCCCCCCCCTTTCTCAGGCACCCTCTGGGATAAGGAGCAGGCTTGTCCGGGTGCTGGCTATGAAAGTCCACCACCAGGCCTGGATCTAGAACGTCTTTAGCTGCAACCCAACTCTGCTCCTCCAGTCCGTATCCTCAGAAAGCAGGCTACAAATTTTCTGCTTTCAACATTCTTTTTTTTATATAAGTGACTGAAGAACAAATAATTCATTTTATACTAATTACAATCTACATCTACGTTCTTATAGAAATTTGCTTACTTTCTATCGTGTTTAATTACGCTGTCAAATAAAGTAATAAATAAGTAATTCTAGAAGATTTTAATATCCACTTTGACAAACCACAGGATCCACTAAGGCATTTATATCTATCTTAGACTTTTTTGCTCAAAATATAAAGGGCCCACTCACTGTTGAAACCACATTCTTGACTTAATTTTGACCTTTGGTGTAAACATAGATCATTAGCCGTTCTCCCTCAGAGCACAGCAGTCTCAGATCATTACCTGATCTCATGTGAAATTCACTTTTGTCGTAATATATGTTTATCACCACACTATTGTGTTAAGTGGACTATAACATCTTCCACAGCTAGTAGTTTTATCAGAAACCTCCTAGATCTATCAGCTTCTAACAGCTGTCCATCTGAACCTACTCAATTAAATATTATGACCAAGTGCTTAAAGCATACTTTTTTTCGACTCTAAATAATGTGCCACAATTCAAAAAGTGAAACTTATTATAGACCTATTTCAAACCTTCCCTTTATGTCAAACATTTTGGAAAAACAACTAAGTTCCTATTTGCATAGGAATTACATACATGAAAAATAGTACAGAGACAGCTTTAGTGAAATTTGTTGGCAATCTCTTTACTATTCTCTGACCAAGGAAATGTATCTTTGCTGGTTTTGCTTAATCTTAGTGCAGCATTTGATACAATAGACCATTCTTTCTTATGAGACAGGCTAGAAAACCCTGTAGGAGTAACAGGAATAGCAGAAGTATGTTGTTCCACAAGGCTCTGTTTTAGGACTTATTTTATTCACATTATATATACTACCACTGGGTACCAATATCAGTAAACACAGCAAACCAGATGATAAACTGCAATTTGATAAGATTGAGGACTGTGTAAAAGACATAAAAAAACTGGATGTCAAGTAACTTCCTCCTGATCAGACAAACCAGAGTTTCTTCTTGGTCCAAAAGCTGCTAGAAAAAAACTGTCTAATTTAACACTTAAACTTAATAGTTTCTCAGTAGTGTCAGGTACATCTGTAAAAAAAACCTTGGTGTCACAATAGATCCTGATCTGTCCTATGATGCACATAAAAACAATATTAATAGAATAGCTTTCCTGCATCTCCGCAATATTGTTAAATGCAGAAAAGCTAGTTCATGCATTTATTACCTCAAGGCTGGATTACTGCGATGCCCTGCTGTCTGGATGTTCCAGCAAAAGCCTTAACAAGCTTCAGTTAGTCCCGAACGCTGCAGACAGTCTCACAAGAACCAGAAAGTTTGACCATATCAGTGCAGTTTTATCAACCTTACACTGGTTGTTAATTAAATTCTACATTAAGTTTAAATTCTTTTACTGACATATAAAACTTTAAACCTGAGTGAACTCAGTACCTGAGTGAACTTCTCTCTTATTATGGTGCTGCTCACTATTAGTACCTAGAATTAATAAAGACATCAGGGGACTGTAGTTAAACTGTAATAGCTCAAACTGCTGGAGTCTCTGCTGCTCTGTTAACCCTGTAATCTGTGATCAGTCACTCTTTACAGAACTAGCTCTCTGTGTTTTCTTTGCCGAGTTGAACAGCTGCCCATCCTGTGGGTCTGATGCTGTTGCTTCATTCTCTTTCATCAAGTGCCCACTGCTCACCCACCCATGGATCTTCCTGGTGTACAACGCTGTGCTAAACTCACCTGCATGAACTGACCCTCCTGATGATACTGCATGCACTGACTCGAACTGTTTAATCAGAGCTATCACTTCACCTGCTGTTTCCTTTTCCTGTATTTCAATATTTTACACTAATATTAAAACTTTGTTCTCTGTTCATTTTGCTTTTGTGTTATTGTGTTGCTATCCAGTGTCGACCAGAGAAGGATGGGTTCCCCTTTTGAGTCTTGGTTCCTCTCAAGGTTTCTTCCTCTTGCTCTTAGGAAGTTTTTCCTTGCCAATGGCGATGCTCATGGGGACTTGGACCCAGATTGTTTTATACAGCTGCTTTGTGACAACGGCTGATGTAAAAAGTGCTGTGTAAATAAACTTTGATTACCAAATGGAAACTTCTGATAACATAACCTACTAAATTAAACGTTTTAAGACTATTTTCACCAAAAATGACTGAATAACAAGGTTGACACCCGGGTAAAAGGGTTGAACTTGTATATAATTTGTATATAAAACTATATTTAATTACAAAGACAACATATTAAATGTTATTAACTGTTTTTTGAAAAATAAATGCCCATTTTGAATTTGATGAAACAAGTTGGCCACAGGGGGAGTACAACGACATTGTAGCTCCGAGTTGGATAGTGAACAGCAGGACTGCTGCTATGAAAGACCCTGAAGATCAGAGGACCACAGCACTCTGTATGTGTGTATGTGACGGTGTATTTCTGTAACATAACCCATCTTAGCTCTGTTCTTGTCTTTCCCTTCTCATTTACCTTATAGAAATAGCAACTCAAATTCAAGCCTTGTATTCAAATAATTTCCTGTAAGTGGTTTGAGAAGCCTACTGAAAAGACCTGGGGCCATATTACAGAAACTTAAAAGTTAAGTCTGAAATCTTATCTGCTTAGTCACCATGACAACTTTAATTAGGATTGAATTTAAGACAGAAGCTATTACAGAACAACAGTTCTTAAGTTCATAATCTTATCCATTAACTCCAAATAAGAAAACACAAATGTTACACAACCATTCTAACTAGACTAAATTTACTTTAATTCTGTTCTAACGTTAAGATAAACTCCAGAGCGTCTTAACTTCTGTTTTAACTGACTGTTTCTGTTATTTTATGCAGTGAGTTGAGACCAAAAGATAAGAAATTTCTGTAAAATGGCCCCTGGTTCCTTTAATTCAGGACTCCAATAGCTTAGCATACATGATGGTGAAAATGTTGTTTCCAATTTTTGTTAAAGACATGATTTTTTTTTTTTACTTTTCTAGTCAGAGCTGTTCAGGTAAGTAGTTAAAGAGAGTGTTGTGATTGTTCAGACAGCACATCACTCCACTCTCTTCAACCTACACAAACCTTACAAATGGTTTAAAGGGTAAATACAATTTTCACTATCCAGCATTTTGTGGCAACATTATCAAAATTATTAATAATTACTAATAGCTACCAGAATTTGCTGACTTAGATGATGATTAAAGATATTTTAGACATGGAGAGACAGAAGATAAACAGAACTGTGTTCAAGAGAACAACTTTCAGATGAAGCTTATATGTAGACTTGACTGTCTGTGTGTGTGTGTGTGTGTGTGTGTGTGTGTCCGTCCGTGTGTGTGTGTTCAGGATTCAGTGTGATCTGAAGGAGGAGAGATGTCCTCCAAAATGAGTCTCTCTGAGGAACAGGACACACAGGAAGCTGAGAGGTGAGAGAATAATGTGATCTGGTGTAAAGTGAGTTTGTTCTCTAGTTCACCACCATGTAAGACAGTTTGTCTGGTATTGTCTGTGTTTTAGACTGAATCAGGGTAAGAGATCTGACTCACCTGAACCCAGCTGTGTGTCCATGAAGAGTGACCAGTCAGAGGGGAGAACAATAGAGTTCAGAGATGGTCACAGATCTACTAAGTTCAGGTGAGAATGGTGTGACACTGAAGAGTGAGATTATAAGATACTCCTACTTTCTCTCTGAACTCCAGTGTTTTTGAAGGGAAAATGGTTCAAAGGCTTGAAGTTTCTGACAGACAAACAAACAGAAGCAGCGCAGTCATAAACATGTTTCACTCCATTCTTAGTTCATTATTCTGTAAAATATATAACCTTACATGCAAAATAACAACATAACATGTAACCTGGGAATTCTAGCAGAGCACACACACACACAAACACACACACACAGACATACACACACACACAGACACACACACACAAACACACACACAGACACACACAGTGTTACTGTACTTAACTGTTATTTTGGAAGATTTAAATTTGTGTTTTATTGAAATTACATCACCTTTTCTGGTCAATAAGTGAAGTTCATGTACATCTGTCTTTATTGTTTTTATTAAAGCATCCAACCAAATTTATAATCATGTAAAATAAAACTGCACACAGATATGATAATATTTTTGAGTGATTAATAATTCAAAATTGTTCTATTTAATCCTAATTATCTTCACATCCATCATTTTGAGATAAATCTTGCTTTTTGCTAAAACAATATTATTTCATGGTCTAACAGGCCTCTATTTCCTTTCTATTTTAAAGAGGAGCTGGAGCACAGCAATATTCATAGCTACATGCTAATCAGATATAACTGCCATGGTAATAGGTAATAACATTTATATACTGAATATGCATCAGATAATATGTCATTTTTTTTTTCTGTTAATAATATTGTTTGTTGTTTTGTTTTTATATTGCCATATTAACCATCACTGAATCAGTGTCTAATCTGATGGTGATTCTTGACTGAATCCCTGAATTAATATTGAAACAACATCATGATACTAACATCAATACATTGATTAATATATTGATAATGATATTTTAATGTTGATACAACACAATGCCGATACAACCTCGACCAAAATGATGATTCTGATGGAAAATAAAAAAATGGAAGCTCCTACTTTCTCCCCAGTGTTCTTGGTTCAAAGTCTTGAAGTTTCTGAGATCATAAAGATCATAAAAGTGATACTTCTTTCATATTTCTTTATTCTGTGTAATACAGAACATTACATAGTTCACACGTACACACACATGCACACATACACAAATACATATACACAGTTTATATACTGAAACTGGATATTTGTACTTTTAATTAATTATATTTAAAGAGAAATCATTTTCATTTTGACCTTCAAAATACTTACAATTAATTTTAAAACAAATAATGGCAAAGAGATTTTTCTCTTGTTCTTACCAATCAGTGAAGTTCATCTGCATTAGTCTGCATTGTTTTTATCAAAGCACTGAACAAACTTCATATCAGTGTAAAAGTTATCTGCCCACAGCTGTGATACTTTGCCTTTGATAGTTATTAATAGTCGCTGTGTTTAATTCTGTTCCTTTTTCTCTGGGTATCATCATGGGTTTTTGTTCCTAGCAGTATCTGAGCTCAGGACGAACTTTCTCTCTATCCTATTTGTAACTAGCAAAGATACTTTCTCTAAATAGACGAAGCACTTTTTGTAAGTAGCTCTGGATAAGAGAGTCTGCTAAATGCTGTAAATGTAAATGGAACAACAGAATCTGTTCACTGAAAATGTAACAGAAATTATTATTATTTTTTAAGTGCTGTCAACTTGTTTCAGGCTCCTGGCGACCGTATGGATAGAGTTTCTCCAGAATGTCACATTATTATATCTGTTCATAATGTTTGCATTTTAATATTGACATATAAAGCATATGATTTATTGAGAATATGGTAACTCAGTGTACTTTATATACCCAGTTTAACGTTTCAATTGCTGTATGTAAACTATAGGGCTCGATTTTAATGTTTGACACCATAAAAAACTTTAAAAGACTTTTATGACTTTAAAAACTGAGCTGGGTGTGGATTTAGCTGTAAGTCCCTTCTTCACCACAGGGGGCAGAATGCTGTGTATCGGCTCTACATGAGTTAAAGCTTCCATAAATATCAGCACAATTTCTCTCAAAGAATTTCTTCATAAATCATTGTTTCTGTGTGGGTGGTGGCATGTGCATACACTCCTGACCCGGTTTTGCTGTACACAAGTATGTTCACACTCACACACACACACACACACTCACATCCACACACACACAGACATACACTCACACACAGACACACACACACACACACACGAACACACACAGACACACACACACACACACACTCACATACACACACACACAGACACACACTCACACACAGACACACACACACACACACAATCACACACACACACACACACACACACACAAACACACACAGACTGGATGAAGGTAAGAGATCTGACTCACCTGAACTCAGCTGTGTGTCCATGAAGAGTGACAGGTCAGAGGACAGACTTATAGATTTTAGAGATGATAACAGATCTACTGAGTTCAGGTCAGAATGATGTGAAAATCTCCAAAATGAGTCTCTCTGAGGAACAGGACACACAGGAAGCTGAGAGGTGAGAGAATAATGTGATCTGGCGTAAAGTGAGTTTGTTCTCTAGTTCACCACCATGTAAGACAGTTTGTCTGGTATTGTTTGTGTTTTAGGCTGAATCAGTGTAAGAGATCAGACCCACCTGAACCCAGCTGTGTGTCCATGAAGAGTGACTGGTCAATGAGCAGAGATATAAACTTCAGAGATGGTCACAGATCTGCTAAATTCAGGTACGAATGATGTGAAACTGAAGAGTGAGATTATAAGATACTCCTATTTTCTCTCTGAACTCCAGTGTTCTTGAAAATGGTTCAAATGTTTTAACAGTGTAAAATAAAACTGCACATCGCTATGATATTATGATATTTTTTTGAGTGAAAATTCCTAATTGTTCTGTTTAATCCGAATTATGTTCACACCCATAATTTTTACATACATCTTGCTTTTTGCTAAACAAAACCATATTATTTAATGATCTAACAAGCCTCTATTTTAAAGAGGAGCTGGAGCACAGCACTATTCATAGCAACATGCTAATCAGATATAACTGCCATGGTAATAGGTAATAACATTTCTATACTACATGTCATTTTTTTCTGTTAATAATGTTGATTTTTGTGTTTTAATATTGACATATAAACATTTAGGTGTCATGAGAACACAATGTACTGTATTTACTCTGTTTTACATATAAATTGCTGTGTGTGGGCTTTTTTACCTAATATCCAATAACATGTACAAACACTCTCCACTACCTTCTTTGTGATGAGTGTTTACACTTAACCTTCATCGTCTCCTCTCTGTTTTGTATAATGTGCTGCCTCTACATGATACAGACAGTCCTGGTTATGGAGCTGAATCTCAGACAGCAGTCAGTCACTGAATCAGTGTTAAAGAGTAACTCGACCCTGACCTTTTTTCATTGACAGCTGAAGTGCACTGCTCTGTAATTATTAAATATACCAGCCTTGCTTAAAATTTGAACACATCTTTCTAAACTGTAAAAATATTAATTTTATCATGGTCAGTTCCGCCTCTGCAGCGCCCCTCTGGTTCAACTCTGCTATAGGCATGGATGACGTGTCTTTGTACTGAAGTACCATGAAATGTCACAGTATTCAAATCAGCCAAACAAGGTTACCGCCTCCTGATGACGTCCTACTCATGCTGCACTCATAAATATGAAACAATAGGAGGCGAGATCGAGGAGATAACCACACTGACATGCTGAGCTAAATCCCCCAGCACCACCTCACAAGGCTGCGATATGCCAGATTTAAATATCCCAGTTAGTCTGAGCTTCGTTTGTAATAAAGATGCTGGAACGATTAAGTGAGGATTCTTGCGAGTCTCTATAAAGCTGCCAGTCTTGTGTCCAATTCATGTTTCCCTTTACAACTCGGACCCTCAGGCATGCGACTCACTGATCAGAAATCAATGGCAAGCAACACTAGAGCTACGAAAAAGCAAAACAGATCAGGAAAGGGTACATTAAATGGCCATTGTTACCGACTGTGTGGACCATTCATCTGTACAGCCTTTCTCCAACTTTTTCCTGCCTTCCATCATTCCAGTGTTGCTTGCCATTGATTTCTGTTTAGTGAGAGCTGCGCCAAGGGTTCGGTTTATAAAGGGGAATGTGAATTTGAGTGGGAACTGAATCGAATGTAACAACGGTGAGTGCCAATGACAGCTTGCAGAATGTAAGAATTTAGGGCCACTGCAGCAAACCATGGCTGACCGGTGATGCAGTCTGTGACCTTGATGTCAAACTGAATGACAGTTTTCAAAGAAATCTACTTTATTCATTCGAGATTCAGGGCCTCTAAGAAATCAAAAATATGGACCTGCTGAACAGATAATTACAAGTGAGCTGTCACTGTTTTTGTCACCTCGCAGCCCCACGTTCAAACCTATAAATCACTGCAGTGCCTCTCCCAACATTCCCATTTTTGAGCATTTTTCAAAGTTGACCCAGGAGTGGAGTTGAAAACAGTGGGGTGTAGTTACTCTTTAAGGTAACACTTTATAATAAGGGTACATGAACTGTCAGTAATTAAGGCATTTACTAATAAATAACTAATCAGAAAGTAATGAGTCATTATTATATATTAAGTCATATATTAACAACCACAAGACTAAATTACTAACGCATGTACTAATGAATGAAGATGAAGGTAATAAAGTTTTTATTCAGTGCCTGAATTTAATAGGAATTAATGTGTTAATTAATGTTGTCACAAGATCCTCCTCAGACACAGTGCTCTGGAATATTATGCCTATCAAAGTCATTTTTTTTTATAGCTCCATCCTCTCATCATCTTGTCCTTCTTCTTCATCATGTTGTGTAAGCAGCCCTTGTATTTGCCTGTTTCTATCTGTCAGGTCTTGAGTTTATTGTTTTTGATTTCATATGTTACCTCATCTGTTTCTACCCACCTAGTGACTGTTCAGTAAAATTAAAAGCTTACACTGATATTG